TAACAGAAAATACCACAAATGGGATAGCTTTAACAGATAGGAGTTTATTCTCCTACAGTTTCAGAGGCTAAAAGTCTGAGTTATGAGTGCCAGGCTCTAGGAGCTGGGTGAATGCCTCTCAACTATGGGCTTCAGCTCTGCCTCTTGCTCTCAGCCCACTGAAGCTGGAATCTTTCTTCACTTAGGCACCTATTGGCTACTGAGGATGACAAACCCAAGGCTGACAAATAAAAAGGCACAGTCTCAATATTACCAAACCACACTGCAGGCCATTGATTCAAGTCCATTAAGAGTCCCAAGATCAGTGGACAACATGGCAGGCTGCTGAACGATGACATGGCTACATGCAGGGTTCAAGCATGCCAAAAGTTAGAGACCATTCCCAAAGCTTCTCCTCATTATGGGAAGCAGACCACATCCCTAAAGCAGCTACTCAGCTGCTCATGGCACATTCGACCATGGAATTGATCGCCAGTCTCATCATGGGAAATAACTACCATCAGCTGCCCAGCTACTCAAAACCACAAGTTGACACAAATCTTAGCTAACACATTATGTGTGATGTTGATGTCATTCCACCACTTGTGTGGTTTTCAATCACTGGTGTTCAATGCATCAAATCTATTCAACATATGGTTTATAAATTCAGATGATAAATAATAAGGTTATATTTTGGTTCTTGTGGACTTGTTTTAAATTTCTTCACTTCAAGTTGAACTTGCATATGAGCAATTAATGGTCTGTTTCACAGTCAATTCCTGGCTGAAGATATTGAGCTTCTCCCTTGCCTTTTTCCACAGACTTAATCTATCTGGTTCTTGTGTCTTCCACCTGACAAAGTCCATATGTATAGCTACCTTTTATGTTGTTGAAAAAAGGTGTTTTCAATGAGTAAGTCATTGGTCTTGCAAAATTCTGTCATGCAATCTCCAGCATCATTTCTGTCACCGTGGTTGTTATGTTTGTGTGTCAACTTGAGAGAATAAGTAAGAGAATAAACTCAGGTTTTTAGGCCATCCCATTTGTGGTATATTCTTGTCAGAGCATCACTAGGTAACCAGAACAGAATATGGTACCAGGAGTGGAGTCCTTCCTCAAAGGGACCCGGCCTCCCCTTCATTCAAGGGATTATGGGTCTGTAAACTGACTCAAGTCTGGGGATTGATTGAGAGGCCATGACTCTATATTCTGGCAATTCAATCTAGGCTGCTGTTCACATGACCTAGAATTCTTCTGTCTATACAGATCAAGTAAATATTCAGTAGGTTTGCCATGTATTTCACTAGTAGGAACACCATGAGCAAGTGGCCAATGTCATAATTCCACATGAGTCAGACTATTCTGATTACTATTCTGACTCTACTGTCCATTATGGTAACCACACCCACCCTGCCTTTGTCAATTAACTGCTGCCACTTGGCCCCTACTACCATGGGGTCCAATCATCCCCATCGTAGTTAAATGCCTTAGTTCAATTAGGGCAGTTTCCACTGTCAAATCCAGCTTACATAAAATAGCAATCACAGCAGTCTTCAAGGATGCTGGAGCTCCTTTTCAAATTTATTCCTCACCATACTGGTGAAAGGCTTGTCTTCTGGACTCTCCATTTCTGGCTCTAGGGGTCTAATCTGATAAATCCATTCTAATAGGCCAATTTCCCTAAGCCTCTGGATACCTTCTTCTACATTATACCAAGGCGGGTCTGGTATCTCAACTTGACTTAAGGTAGGCCACCACACAATCCATGCTTCAGTAAGCCAACCAAATAAACTATTAGATCCTTTCCTAACCTCTCAAGCTGAAACACTGAATGAAGAATCCGTACTAAGTGGGCCTAAATCAATAAACTCAGACTGATCCAATGTTACCTTCCTTGCATTATTATCCCACACCCTCAGTAGCCATTCCTATACATATTCTCCAGATTTCTGTCTGTACATGTTAGCAAAATCAAGTAGGTCTTTTTGGGTGTAGCATACCACCTCCTCAGTCACACTTTGTATTTCACCTTTTGGGGCTCACTTGGACTTAACTTTAGTTATAGGTCTACCAGCAACAATGGGTGGTTGGGGCAGTTCCTGAGAACATTCAGCAATGTCTTCCATGGCCTCTGCCTCAGGCAATGACCCTGCAGGAACAGTTGGGTCAATCCAATTCATAATGCTATCCATCTGTCAGTGAACAGGAGTATACTCTAGATGGAAGATAGATTCAGCTGAGGGAGCTCTGGTAGCATAGTGCTTAAGGTACTTGACTGCTAACCAGGAGGCTGGAGGTTCAAACCCACCAGCCACTCCTCGGAAGGAAGGTTGGGCAATCCTACTTCTGTAGTGATACTGCCTCGGAAACCCAAGGAGGGGTCGCTATGAGTCGGGGCCGACTCGACGGCACATAACAACAACAACAACAACAATCTTGCACAGGCACCGGTGATACAAAATACCTGCAATCCTTACAGAAACAATAGAAGACAGACACAGAGTAATCCCTCACAGACACCCAGACACTATGGGAGAGAGATCCAGTAGATCTACTGTCTCAGGACCATGGTACTGGGGGACACCAGACTCAGTTGACACAACAAAACACATAAAAGTTTTGTTCCACATCCTATATTGGTGAGTAGCGACTGGGGTCTTAAAAGCTTTCAAGCAGCCCTCTAAGATGCAGCTAACAGTTTCCCAGTGTTGGAAGTAGAGTTAGAAAAAACAAAACAAAACAACAACAACTACAAAAAAGGGCATTTGGAAGCAATCAGCCATAGGACACAATGGTCCATGAGACCAAAAGAACTAGATGGTGCCTGGCTACCAATGCCAACCACTGAGGAAAGGATCAAATCTGGAGATCCTGGATAAAGTGGGAGGAAAAACATGGAACAAAATCCAAAAACTCAATAATGACCAGAATTACTGGTCAGATGGAGTCTGATGAGACCCTCAATACTATGGTCCTGGAATACATTCTGTACCTCAAATAAAACTCACTCCCAGGGGCTGGCTTTCAGCCCAATAGTTAAAAAGATGTACACACAAACCACCCAACCCAGGATGACACATCTACATACTCTATGGTAATACATCCCTTAGAGCAATAGACCATGGGGCACCAGAGGGGCAACATTCACACTGAGGAAATGCAGGACAAACAGGAGTGCATAACTATAAGGGGCACAGGGGGAGGGTTATCGGGAAGGGAGGGGAGGAGACTGAGTTAGGGTTGGGCATGGTAAACGGGGAGTGAAACTAAATGTACATATAACATTGAATGTAAAACAAACTCTTAAAATAAAAATAAATAAATAAAAATAAAAATACTGTGTCCAATTTATAGAAAGAGAAGTGTTCTGTGAAGGTAAAAGCAAAATGATGGCAGGAACTGAATCAGATAAATAAATACCCAATCTGGTTTTCATTCCAGGGATTTCAGTTGAAAGCCTGATACTCTTTAATGACTTCCTTTAGCCTAGGACAAGTACTGGTAGCATAGTGGCTAAAGCACTTGACTGCTAACCAGAAGGATGGCGGTTCAAACCCACCAACCACTCCTTGGAAGGAAGGTTGGGCAATCCTACTTTCATAGTAATACTGCCTCAGAAACCCAAGGAGGGGTCGCTATGAGTCGGGGCCGACTCGACGGCACATAACAACAACAACAACAGGACATGCACTAGGTGGACATTTAAATTTAAACCCCAGCATAAATTGAAATCTCAAATGCACTCTTCAGGAGACCATAACATCACTGGTTCTGAGTAGAAAGGAAAACATTATCTCATAACTTCAAATCAGCTCTTTAAATTTCAGGTACTAATGGCTCTGGAGACAAAGCTGGTGTCTCACCTTAGGTCAAAGAAAGCAAAGCAGAGCTTGAAGATTCTGTTATCTATGAAGGATTAGAAAGGGTATTTAGAGTTTTTTGGAAAACCAAGAGAGAAGGGTCTCATTTGTGAGATATCAACCGCCTGATGAAAAGCCTTTATAAGTGGCCATTGGAACAAAGTGAGTTTGTGAAAGAAGTTTTAAAAAGTGCAATTTTCTATTAAATAAAGTTAATAATCTGTACTTCTTGTACTGGACACTTTCACTTAATCACTGTGAATTAGACAATTATAAATTATAGATTATACGAATCAGAAGAAATATAAAAATGGATTTGTGTTTTTATGGGTAAAATGAATTGTATGAGATTGATGAAGTGGCCTTGGAACAAGCAAACCGCTGACCCATGAACAGTGACTAATTGCTTGACAGCTGAAAGACAAGGATGGTTCAGGATTCGCTTGCAATAAAACCAAAACCAGATAATTTGTCCAGGGCACATAGTCTGCACTCTAAAAAGAAAGGACACACTGATGAGATCACCTAATTTAACTGTTAAAATATAAATCCCTATATAGTGAATGAAGACTATGTGAGAAAATGAGGTGTCTAGAGCCACAAGACTCCTTGCAGCCTCTCACACTGAAGATCCCACACTATGCTGTACTTAACATCAAAGTTGGAAATTTTATGAGTTAGATCTGCCTCAATTTTTGACTCTCTCTCTGTAGGACTTTTACTTCTTTATAAAGTCTTCTATGGCCACCGAGTGGGAACTCTTTGTCTTGCTCCTCATCAACCCCAATCTATGACTTTTCTCTCCCATATATCAAGGACTTTATAATCTTATCAAATTTATGTTTTTAAGTCAACAGCAGAGTTAATTAAAAATAATGATAGACTAATGATGCAAATGATTTCAGTAAATGCAAAATCTAAGGCAAATAAATTGAGAATGAGAAAAATGAATCTGTATGTTCATAAAAAATATTGTAGATAGATTAAGGTGATTATTTTAATAACTTAAATAAGTTGAACTCTCCTTCCTATAAAAACTTTGTGCTATTTTTTAATGCAATTGTTATTTAGTTTGTAGCATCAGACACTGTGAAGAGTCGGGCATATTCCTTGCTCTAAACTCACCCAATGCTTTGTTGCATGCAACTTTTTCCCAATTCTCTACCATCTTCTGTCCTTACTGGAGCACCTGATATGTTGTAAACACTTTTCCAAAGTTCTTCTCACAGCTGCCTTCACCTCCTTGTTCTTCAGGCTGTAGATGAGGGGATTCAGCATGGGAGTGATCACACTGTACTGCACAGAGAAGATCAGCTCCACTAGGGACCCTGAGTTTGGCATAAGGTGACGCAGCACAGCTGAACCATAGAAAAGTGTCACTGCAGTGAGGTGGGAGGAGCAGGTGGAGAAGGCCTTGCTCCTGCCTGAGGTGGAGCTCATTCTCAGGATGGTGGAGATAATGCGTGCATAGGATAAGAAGACCAAGAGGAAGGTTCCCAGTGCATGCAAGAATGCGGAACAGAGCAAGACAATGATGTTCCTGGAGATATCAGAGCAGGACAGAGGGAGGATAGAGGGCATCTCACAGCTGAAATGGTGAATGATTTGGGCCTCACAGAATACCAAGTCCATAGCCAGGAGGATATTGATGAATGCATCCAGAAAGCCCAGTCCCCAAGAACCCCAAACAAGCAACATATACAACTGTTTGCTCATGATCTGTCCATAGAGCAGAGGGTGGCAGATGGCAGCATAGCGGTCATAGGCCATCACTGACAGCAAGCAGGCTTCTGTCCCTGCGGTGACATATAGAAAGAAGACCTGAGCCAGACAACCTCTTACTGAGATTGTTTTCTTCTGGGACAAGAAATTCTCTAGCACCTTGGGCACAGTGACAGAAGAGAAGCAAAGATCCAGGAAAGAAAGGTGACTGAGGAAGAAGTACATGGGGGTGTGGAGGTGGGAATCAGCCCCAATCACCAGCAGCATCATGAGGTTCCCCGTCAGGGTCAGGAGGTAAATCCCCAGGAAGAGCACAAAGAGCAGAGCCTGGACATGGGGGTTCAGGGGGTTCATGGACAGCCCAAGAAGGATGAACTCAGTGACGGTGCTGTGGTTCCTCCAGGCCATTTACAAAGGCTGTTCCCTAAAAATGATATTAAAAAGCATGACAGATAAGATTCTACTATGCCTCAAGTAATTTTCTTCTTGCCCTGATTCTTTTTTGTCATCATTATTCAGTAAAAAGCTTTAGTTTCTACCATGGCTTAAACTTTGTGTCTGTTCCTTGGGACATAAAAATGAATGACATCTGGTCTCTGCTCTTAAAATGGTTCCAGTTCATTGAAGGACAGGAAGATAAGACCAGAGGGATATCTACAGACAATAGCACCTCTGGTAATGAGTTTTAAATTGCTGAATGATCTCTCTCAGTTGGTGATGGGGAATTTGATGACTGATAGAAGCTGCTCATTGGGTCATCCAGGGTATGTGTCATACGTGCCATACCTTAGATACTCCTCTGAATAGTGTATTATAGAACAGTGTGTTTGAGGCAAATAGAGCCCAAAATATGACTTAGAGAGGGATCATTAATAAAATCACTTTGTGAAGATATGAATAAAACTTTTAAGAAAACATATGACTGCTCTAAAAATCATGTATTGGAGGCGTTTAGTTTGTATGAATGTGTGTTCCAAAGTTCATGCTTGAGAAAAAGCAAGTCATGTTTGGTGAAACATGGTAGTTCTAAAAAGCTGATGCCCAGGGCATGAGTGAGCATCATAGATCAATGGTATGTGGATTCTTGGGTCAAACTACATTCAAATACCAACTCCATCACTTATTAGACATATGACTTTGTACATGATATGTAAATATCTATGCTTCAATTTCCTTATGTGGAAAATGCAGGTAATAACATTACTAGAGATGATTTGCAGGATTAAATATGAGTTTATATAAAAAGCTATATGAAAACTGCCCACTCTTAACTGTTCAGTATATATCTATCATTATTGTTATTATAATTATCATCATGATCATCATCAATACTATTCTCTGAGATTGTAATTCTAGGGAAAAATCAAATAAATTCTCATATAGGGAATTACTGTTAAATATCAAAGTTGTTGCTGCCACTGCTGCTTTGTTATTATTCTTTATTAAGAGAGGTGTAAGAAAACATTTTTGTAGCTGCCATTCGCTGTCCATGACCCCAGTTGGAAGGCAAATTGGCAGTTTTGAATGATTCTGGAGCGGCACTTCTCCCTTAAAAGAATAAGTAACTTTAGAGTTATCAAAGATGTCTTCGTTTAGAAAGGAAAGCATGTAATTGAACGTACAGAGTACAGCAGCCAGACTCCAGAGACAACAAGAGGAGAGGGAATGGTTGGGACTCAGTTTCGACTCTCTGACCCATCCTCTATAATGTTACAAGGATGAACATGTATCACAGAAAAGATTAGAATCTCTGCAGAAGCAAGCAAGAGGAATACTTGAAAGGGTTTCATGCCAGAGGAATATTTGAAGTGACCTGACTGTCGCAGCTGCCAGCATAGAGAACCTTGTCAGTACTACATATTCTGGACTATTCTGTCAGACAATATAGGGGAAGAAGGTTGGAAACTCATCCTAAGAGACTATGAGTTTGAATCTCAGCTTCTGTTGGAAACATCTGCTGCTGCAATCTCTGCTCCACAGGTGGAAGTCTCTTACCGGTCATTTTCTTAAGCTCAAACTCTGTAGCCTGCTTAAAACAGAAACAGAATATTCAATCCTTTACAGATATTTGGATTAACTTGTCTGGCTTTCATCGTGTAACATACTCAGTCCCCTATACCGTATTTCTCCCTCATGTCAGATTGGGTTCATGATCCTGCGCTCTATTTTTCTTAATCTTCAGATCTGGTTTGTAATAAGCTATGTGTGCTTGAACCCTGAGTGTTTACCCACAATTTCCCACTTCAGACTTACACATTGAAGTCTGAACTTTGATTTATCCACAGGATGTGTTATAGTGGCCAGTCTACTTCCTGGTTGTGGCCATTCCCAATAAGTTTAAATAAGCCCAAAGCCTGGACAAGAGGAATCAGAATTTCTTAATTTTTGTTTATTGTCTGTTCAGTGATAAACCCAGCCTCAAAATCCTTCCCATAAACCAAATGCAGATTACCTGTACATTTTGTCCAATCAGGTGATCTGAGCTGCTCTTCAAGTTGGTGGTAGGACTTTTATTTGGAGTCATCTAAAAAAAAAAAAAAAAAAAAGATGAAATATAGAAGGTATCCTGGTGGAGTTTGTAAAATCCTATAATGATCATAAATTTTACCAGATTTTGCACTAATGAAATGAAATAGTCATAGGGCAGTTCGTTCTTTCAAAGGGTCTCAAACACTCTGGTTTTTCCTGTTTCTAATATTATATCTTAGCTACACATAGTATTGTCTGGTTTAATCAATCTGCAGAGGAGCTGTATTTAAGCAGCTTGTACTGTTGTTTCTGCACGTCTGGTAGCCCAAGGGATGGATGGGACAATGGCTTTTATAAGCAATACTTAAGCTTGAAGTCAGACTTAGTTATCAAGAACTTTAGTAACTTTGGGTGCTATGAGGACTAAAGGGAATCTCTTAGGATGGTTTATGCAATGACCTACAATCATTAAATGTAAATATCTGATTCTAGTGAGAGTTGAAAGGAGACAAAGTAGACAAAGGTGTTTTTGACTGGTCCTCAAGCAGGAAAGGAACAGTCTTCAGTGGACACTTTACAGGCTGTTTCTCCTCTTTCAGATTTTTCAGATGAAATTACTTTCAGGAACATTTGCTATGTAAAAGTATTTGTTGATCAAATAAGTAAAAAGGAGAACAAAAACAAAAAAACTCAGCAAGCACATTCATTTTCCTAAACAGCCTAAACAAATCTATTTGCTTTGGTGAAACTGTTTAGATTTCTACACAAACTGAAACACATTCCTGTTTGAGTACTTCCAGACTAGGAGTATTTAGGAAAGGATTTGTTTAATAGTTTGTCATAATTTTAAGTAAGAAAAGACTGTTAAATATTTCCATTTATTTATTTATTTCCAAATTTTCCATTTATTTATTTATAATTAGCTATTCAGTTTTCAATCAAAGCAGAATACTCTGGCATATTTCCAACTATCCTTTGAAAATATGTTGAGTAAACAATATTTAATGCTTGCTTAGAAAATCAAGTCTACTTTTAAAGAATATTTATTTTCTTTGTTAATTTATATAAAATTTAAAATCATTTTGCATATATACATTGTTGTTGTTGTTGTTATG